GTGAATACTATCGCCTAACCGAGAACACACTTCAGCTTGCAAAGATGAGCAAGCTGCTCATGGCAATCGAAAGTGGAACAAAGGCAAATCTCTTGATGAGATTGATTTGGGCATACAAAGTGAGTAGAAAATAGATTTCATAACAGAAGGCAATTTATACTTAAAAATGCCAGGGGCACGAAGTTGTGGCTGGGAGGATTTAAATAGTTTAGCCCGGGGAGGGGGGCTTAAGTGTGGGCGCACGGGTTCGAGCGGTGCGCTGGGTTCCTGGAGCTCCCTTACAGGGGTATGTGCTGGTGCTCTGTACCCCCACTTATGGAGCCACATTCCGGGCGTGAAGTGTAGCAGTGTGCGCATGGAGCTCCCTTATGTGGTGCACATGCTGGTGCTCAGTACCCCAGCTATGGAGCTCCATTCCGGGGGAGAAGTGTGAGGTTTCCCCTCTAAGAGGTCAGATGGCATCTGAATCATCTAAAGTGTCAGGCGGTATGAACATTTTTGGGTCATGCGAGGAGCACTGTGGAATGAAATATTGCATTATCTGATAAGACGATGATTTGTGGTTAATAGTGAGGTGACGTTTTCTTCTGCTGCAGAAGAATCAGACATGCTGACTGAACAGGCCTCAGCTACAGGACCATCACACAAGCTCAAAAGGACAGAGAAAACAGGTACTGCTCAGTTCTCAGATTTGAGTATTGTTAATTACAGTAGATGTGGATTAACAACACATTACAAATTAATCACCAGATAAATGTTTGATTTATCAATATTGAGAATGTCTATCACATTTGTCATTTCTATTTCAGCTGTGGACCTACAGTTACTCAGCAAAAACAAACACCAGCGCAGGCCGTGGAGTTCTGAGGTGTGGCAACAACTGGGGAAGTGCATCACTATGCAAAGAGTTCCTGGTAAAGAGGTCTGCCTCAAGGCACTTGAAGCAGAACCAGTACTGGGCAGTCGCAACTGGAAAGATTTAAAGAATAATGTCCACAACTCCAT